TTCCTGCTGTTTCCCTGGTTATTTCGTTTACTTGCCTACAGAGTATAATGCAGACACTTAATGCTTTTTTTCATAATACTTTCCTGAAAGCCATGTCTTCAAAGCATTGAAAGTAATTTCTACTTTTATCAGAAGTAAGATTACACTTAGACTTTGCATTTCTGATAAAGAATTCAGCATAAACAAAGTTTGATGTGACTAACACCGTAACAGTACTCCCTTACCTTTGTCTGGCATTTTGCAATTTTCTAAGGCACTTTCATATATGTAAGTTAATTTGATTCTCATAACAAATCAGAGAAGTAGATTTTATTACCCCTATTGTAGAAATGGAGAAAATGAGACATAGGAAGATGAATCAGCCTACTCACGATCATTTAGTTGGTGGATGATAGAGGGATCCAGACCTCTAGTAGAACCAGACCAGAGGCACTTCCTTTCTCCCTCAAATCAACAGAAAACAGCTACCATATAAATCAGCCCACCTCCATCATCTTGAAGTTAATGTGAATTTTCTTGTCAAATTCACACCTGTATTTTTTCATAATCTCAAGGCCAATAAATCTCATCTTCACCATTCATTCTTTTTCTTGTTAAGAATTTTTTTTTTTCTTAACTGATACCCAAAGCGTCTTATGCTTCTTTTTCCCCTAACGTTTTTCCGTCTCTGACCTCTGAATCTCTTTCCACTTTAAAAGCCACAGTTCTTTGTAAGCACCCTAATCTGTATCCTCAGCTTCCTCACAGAACCATACCTTCACCTTCTTGCCTTAACTGAAACCTGGCATTCCCCCAAGGATATCACTTCCCTTGAGCATCGACAAACAAAAACTGCTTTTTCTCCCCACCTTCCAACATGCTGAGAGAGATTTGGAAGCAGTGTTGGCATTCTCTAGCTTCTAACTGCCAGTCCAGGTGATCCCATTCCCACCTGTATGCAACTCCCCACCCTCTGCGCCCTTTCGAGTATCATGCTATAGCATGAAGCACAGTCACATCATGCACCAGCTTCTTGGTCACTCCCCGATTCACAGAGAGCTTCAGGACCTGGCCCACAAATGCTGCCAGACTCCCGCGTTATCTCAGACAACCTCAGCATCCGTGATGCATAGCTTCTCAATCACACAAAGGGATTCCAGTGCCCTTTGCCTCCATTCCTCTTTAACACAACTCATTCCTGTGGCAAAATCCTAGCTTGACATTTACCCAGATGCCCTGAAAACCCAAACTTTAGTGACTCTTCACACCTCTGAAAGCACCTGTCCCAGCAACTTCCTGACTTCTTAGTAATTTCTGTTCTTGATCTTTCTTCAATGCTTTCTGTTGCATTCCTACCTTCACTTCCTTCCCTACCCAGCATAAACCCCAAAAGCCCATCATTTCCCAGAATTGCTTCTGGGCACCCACCATGCCCTCCCTCTATTTTTGCTATACTGCCAACTAACTTGCTATCACCCATGGTTATCTAATTGGTTAAAGACATGGGCTGGGGAGTCAAACTCCCTCAATTTCTACCATTTAGTAGTGATTCCACCTTAGGTAAGTCATTAATTTCTCAGGGCTTCCGTTTCCTCAGTTGGGAAATAATAATAGAGTACTTATCTCATGACCATCACAAGTTACTGTAAAGATTAATTGAGATAATATATGTAAAATGCTTAGGATAGTACCTGATGCATAAGCGCTCAATAAATATTTACTATTTGGATTGGCCAAGAAGTTCATTTGGGTTTTGAAAAACCCAAATGAACTTCTTGGCCAACCCAATATTATTACAAATAAACTGCTTGATGCTGCTTCTAAAAAAAAAAATCACATAATCAAATTAATAAGTGCCAATACATGCCTAAATCTGCAAAGCAAAACACAAACATTTTTCACCTCTCTCCCTAGATATTGCCCACTTAAGGGAGATGCTTGAGAAAATACCCTTGTAGGGCCTGAGGACCTCTGGTATCATCATGTTATCTATTTGTCCTCCTCATCAAAGGTAGATGGGATTAACAGACTGACTAATGTCTATTATTCTTAAGGTAGTAACAGCAAGGATTTTGTGTGACTGCTTCCCAGAAGACAGACTAGAAGAAATAGGCATTAGACGTGAATAGACTTCTCACAAAGGAGAAAAGATAAATGGCTAAGAAATACATTAACAGATGCTCATCCTCATTAATAGTCAGGGAAATACAAATTAGAAATACAATGAAATAACATTGCACATTCTTGAAATTGGCAAAAACTAAGAAATCTAACAATATCAGATGTTGGACAGAATATTCTAATAGGCATGTAAATGGTACAATCACTTTGTGAAACATTGAGGGGTGATTTTGTAAAGCCAAATACATACTCCATGGACCAGCTGTTCCATCCCAGTGAAGCTCTTTCTCATGGGCCTCAGGACAATGGTTAGAGCCAGACAAAACTGCAGGCAACTCTGTGCACTGACAGGAGAATGGATTAAATAGTGGTATATTGGTACATTCACACAGAAGAATATTAAACCCACACACAAATGAAATATAGCAGCAATAACAACATGAAAGAATCTTAGAAACAATGTTGAAGGGAAAAGAAAACACATCTCTAACAAGTAACTGTATATATTGAATAGTGTAATGACATTTTACATATATTAATCCATTTAATTCTAACATCTCTTTGAGGAAGGTAGTATTGCTTTCATTTTACAGATGAGGAACC